TTTCAGTTAGGATCTAATTGAGTAAAACTTTAGCCCACAGGCAAGTTTTATGTCACTAGATTCTTCTGGGTCTTTAGCAATTGTGAAAAATATTATCATAAGGGTTTCTTAATTGGATTTAATAGAATTAAAACTTTAGCCCACAGGCAAGTTTTATGTCAATAAATCCCTCAACCCATTAGATATTAATTTTATCACAATTTCTTAGTGTTATAAATTCAGTTCAATTATAATTCTAAGTTTCATGGTTTGCATTGGCAAAACATGTATTTAGTCACTTCCCAAAATTTAGCAACTTTTATTAATTAATCCACGAATCTTGCTCGGTTCTTCGGACTAACTGTAGTAAGTTACGTGATTTGACATACCTCTTGGATTCCAATAATGTTAAAATGTATCTTTTGAGCCAAATTCTAACTTGGTTTTGAAAGATGTATTTTGTTTTTTTAGTATGTCCAACTATGGTGGGGAAATATATCTTCATTATTTAGTTGGACTTTAATTGGAACCAAAAATTGATTATTTAGTATGTCCAACTAATGGTGGGGAATTATGTCTTCATTTGTTAGTTGGTCAATAAATCAGTTATGAGTATGTATGTTATTAAGTTCACTTTATTAATTTCGCTGAAGAATATTTTAATTAGTGGGAGTGATCATTTAGCAAAAGGTCATTAAGATACTCCACTAAAGTTTTTGGATTTAATTATTGTATTCATACATTCCAAATTGGGTTGTATGTTAAACAATAAGTCCATAATATTCCACAAGTATTAATCTTGTATTTGTTCATATAAATTCATAAGTTCAAATTATCGAACATTTGGTTGTGCAACATATTTATGAAAATGTTGCAACAATATTATGAAATTTATTAGAACAAAAGCATTTAACTTGTGGTGCACTGTAATTTAATAAATTCTTCAGTGATTAATAGAGTCTTTAGTTTCTTCAAAATTGATCCTGGACCATTTTGGTTTGTAAGGCTTAAGACAATTTTGTGGGACATATAAGTAAGACTCATTATGTTCAGTTCATTTAAAATGGACATTGAAGTTATTTGGGAAGTTATGGTGTATGTTTAAGATTCCAAATTTATGGACTTAGACCTTTGGTTTATTGTCTAAGTTATTGGAATGCTTCTGTGACTTGACTATCTTTTGGCTATTTTTGATGAGTGGGAGTGACAGACGTGTCAACTCCAAGCTCTTAGCTGTTAGAGATAGTACTTAAAGTTAACTTATAAAGAAGTCATGGAATATAGTTAGCATTATGCTAACATTAAGAGATCTCTACTTAAGGCATGCTTATAAAGTTTTAGAGATCATACAGTGTACTCTTTTGTACAATTTGGATGCGTTTTCTCCTTCAGTTGTGTACATAATGTATTTTGAGAAACATCCCTTAAGGTACCGAGAATAAACATAGGGTTTGTTCATTAAAGACCTAAGTTGGAGAATTAAAATGCATGTGACCATAATGGATACTACTCTGATTAAATAGAGGACATATCACTATGATTCGTGTGTTTTGTTCTTTGATGAAGGTTGTGCTAGTACTTGCACCAAGTGGGAGAATGTAAGATTTTCCCTAATAATATATATTATATATTATGTATTAGGGCCTTAATTAAGTGGTGCAAGTTGACTAGGCTTATTAAGTGGTATGGTTGGACTTAATAACTAGTAGTTGTTAGTCAACCAAACTCTGTGTCTAATATAACCTGGATTGATGGGATACAGGATTATGGATTAGATAGCACATTCAGTTACGGTACTCAGACCGCTCAGTAGATACCAATACACCATCTAGGGTTCTGAGTCAGGTCTGAGGCAAAACATGGCTAACGGTCTACCGTTAAGAGGCAACACAACAGGAACATCAACTATGGCTGGAGATCTACATGGCTACGCTTCCGCTATCATACGAGGTCAGGTTTCTCGTATACTGTTATTCATTATAGTTAGACTATTGTATATCTAACACTCCATAGTTAATAAAAATCTAGATAAATTTCGCAGAGAAAACACAGCAAAATTATATGTGTCACATCTGCTCACTTCATCAAGAAGTTAGAGAAAGCTATCCCAACATGACATTCATAAATACGCAAAGATTTTGGTTTGGGTGGAAGCTTATGTTTCCACTTGTATCCAGACTCAGCCCTCAGGAGGCGGTTCCCAATGGACAGCAAAAGCCTGGTTCCCAACTGCATCTGCATATCAAAGATTATTACTGTTAACTGAAGCTTCAGAATTGAATTGATAGGAACCAAAACCAAAAACAATCTAAAATGTGTAATATGCAAGTAACAACAGGTAGAAATATGTTACCTACACCCACATAAGTAGCCAAAGCAGGAACCCGTTCCAAATGCCCATTTGGAGTGTTAAAGTACACCCTATATTTGCTTCCATGTGGTATTCCAGGAGTATATTTCTTCAACCATGCTATGTCAAAAGTCCTAGTGAGTCCACGTTATATATCAAAGATGATGGAAATCATTTTCTGGTGGTTCCTAGTGAGTCCACGTTACAGAGCCTTTGTTCAATCTTTGTATAGTTATACATTGCTTAAAATTACATTCCACCGTTAATCGTCAACAAGAATGAGAATGTTCAAATAGCAAATGCTACTGCACAAAGGATAGCAACCTTGCTTCTCCCTATGAATAGTTTAAATTACTGTAAAAACACACTTTGGTTTGAGATGTAATCTATACCTAGAAGGTCGTGTATGCAACTGTACCTTGCTTTGTTGATCTAAATTGGTTCTTTTTACACTATATTCATTAAATTGAGAGGCAAAAAGAACAATGAATGCTGCCTTTGTTGATCTAAATTGGTTCTTTTTACACTATTTTCCTTAAACTGAGAGACAAAAAGAACAATGAATGATGAGGAAAAAAAAGAGGCCAATTTGGGAGCATACCGTCGGGCGAGGTCGAATCGGAACCTTAGAACATCGCTGCATACCATCAATTAACGAACAAGCCAGGCACGATCGAGATATAATGTAACCCAGGGATGAAATTGTTGCTTATCTTATGAAGGTAAACATGCCAACATCACCATAGTGTGTTTGGTATATGTGGTAGCACTGCTGGAAATTTCGCTATTTCCGTCCAACGGAAGTTAGACGGAAAACGGGAGTTATTGGTCGGAAAACTGATTTCCGTCCAACATTCCGACCAAAACGTGACCCCGGAAAAATGAACACCGGTAATACCGTCCAACATCAAATGTTGGACAGAAATTCCGTCCAACGGGTCAAAATTGGATGAAAATTCCGGATGTTAACCCACCATTTTTAGGATGGAAATTTCCGTCCAACTTTTACTCGTTGGACGGAAATGCCGACTAACCGTTGGTCGGAAAACTCATACGCTTTAATATCCGAAATTCCTTCCAACGGTTGGTCGGAAATTGTGACCAATGGTTGGTAGGAAAATCTATATTTATATAAATTATTTTTATCATTTTGATATTGCTATAATTTTGTTTTACTTGTCAGTAAATTCTACATCATCAACAAAGTAATGTAAACAATCTAAATTCAAAATGAAAATATATTTAAATATCAAAATTATTTACAACAAAAAGATAGTATTGTGTTCATAAACATTTAAGCAATGCACTATTGCCATACACAAGAAGTCATAAAAATATAAAATACTTAATCTTCATCAGGAAGGACTTGTGTTTCATCATTTTGTTTTCTTCCCACATTTGTTGAATTTCTACCATCAATGCTGCATTTGAAGTTGCATTTGAAGATCACGCTCCATGATTTAAGAAAACAGGAAAGTGGCAAACTATCATAATATTCTTCAACCTTTGTTAAACAGGAAAGTGGCAAACTACCATGGTATCCTGGAACATAGAAAAATGTGAAAATAACTAAATAACTCATAAGACTGACATTATAATGGACTTGCAAAAGTGCATATGCAAAACACCAACTTAAGTAAAGCCTCTGAACTAACATCTGGAAACTGTATGCATATATTATAAGATAAACTGAAGATTGAGCTCAAGTAAGGAATCGAGGCAATGTCATACTCATTAGAAAATACTCCTGTTCACAATAAAAGCAAAGCAGAAAAGCTCAGTCTACTTTTACTTGGAAAACATCTATCCTCCCAAGACTATCATCCTCCTGAATTTCACCCTATCACCTTAACAAATATGCATTTAATTGCAGCTTCAATGTACCAATGTAGATATGAATGCACATGAATTTCACCCTATCACCTTAACATACACACATATGAATTCAATGATTGTTCTTGTAGATACTGAGTAACAATACTATCTCCCTTAATTGCTCCTAATTGTTGAGCATCTTCAAGCCAGCAATGAACATTACATGTCCAAAATAGAAAGGTAGGATGGGATTCCAATGGTAATCATTCATGCAGAAGATAAGCTTAGAAGAGATAAGAGGCCAATAACTTGAATGTGACAAACTAAATTCAGAGTTATTATTAACTTACCTTTCTAAAATGTTCAAGAGCTTCTGTGTTGAGTTTACATTGACCTGTATACGCAAACCAACGACAACAGAGATGAATTGCCCTATTCGGATCCACAATTTCTGTGCAAACACCGTATGTAACACCAATCAAACGTGCAACTCCTACCAAATTTTTAACATCTATATAAATGAATTAACATTATATCAAACATAACATGAAAAAAAAAAAAAAAAAAAGAACATACCAGAGTATTCGTGAACACTTATCTCAAGAAAGGAAGTGCAAAACCTACCAAATTTTTAAACAAGTTTAAGAGGTAAACAAGCAGTCAATGAGATCATATCAAAAGCTATATAAATTCATGTGAATCTTTAAAAAGTTTTACAGATGTAAAAGAATGCATGGAGATGGTGTTGGTGCAGGGTGAGGAACAAGGCATGGTGCAGATCTTCCTGACATCACAAACCATGAAAATACTAAAACAAACATAAATTAAAATCTCAAATTATGGGAAGGGAATTGAATTGAACTAACATCAAACTAAATATAGGTAGATATTACTATAGAAGAAGAAAAACATAAGCAACCTAGACAAAATTTTGAATCAGTAAAGTCCGTAACAATTGAAATTGACAATGCAGGATTACAAGCAGAATGTGCATAGATTCAAGGCAGCTCTTTCTCAAAAATGTAAATGGAATACTAGTGAGATTAGTACTTCTTTACATGCGCTTATGAAATTTGAGTTTAAAAGTGTTTTTCTTTGCAAGCATTATTAGGCTCAACACATACAGATTTGGGGCTAAACCCCAAAACTTAATATAGTTTCCAGTGCATAAAGGGAGAAATACAATTTCATACAAAATCTAAAGGAAATGATGCAGATCAATACTACTTGAGCAAACAAAATAAAAGAGAAAACCATTTCTGCACTGGTGGAAACTGGAAATCTAGAACATCATAAGATACATATGTACAATTGGGTCAAACTTATGAATCTTGCAGCCACTCAACCTTTTTAAAGATGCAATTAAATAGAACACCTACTTTGATCTTTGGATGCAATGACCAAATCCTTGATGCCATTCACAAGTCCAGCTAGACCACATTGACTTTAAAGATAGTTCTACAGTATGAATATCAAAGCACTAGAACATACTATTAAAGATGGTTTTCAACCCCAGCTTAGCTTGAACATTCTGCAACAATACCATGAAAACATATGATTAATCTGTTATTATTGTCTTTAAAATAATAATAATAATTCCATTTGGGAAATGGGAATGTCTTTAAAAGAATTAATTAATTGATTTTTTAAAGAAATTCTCAAATTAGATATGGGAATGTTTCATTTTTATTAGATATACAAGTCATTAGACATGAAAAATTAAGTAATATTGTGGTGTTAATCGTTTTTCTAAGACAAGAATATTCAAACTCAACTACTAAAATCAGCCAATATTAACTACTGGGCACATTGTCATGGAAAATCCCTTACTGTTTCTCAAAAACATTAATCAAAACAAGAAAGAAAAATAATGATAGTAAAAGCAGTAGACAGATTTAGCCGGCAGAGCAGCGACCATTCTCAGTCTGTCCTCATCTCCTCCCTTCTCAGCGTAGATCTGACTTGCCAGTGTAGATCCGAAACAGGACTCTCCGAAAAAGTGCTCCTCTTGTACAGATCTAAAGAACGAAGGAGGAGAGTTGAAAATTTAAAAATAAAAAATAAAACTTACCTCTCAGTTGTGGCTTCCAAAGAAGAGGAGAGGAAGGGCACGGCGTAATCCTCCGCGATGTTGAGTTGAGCCCGTAGATCCGCCGCGAAATTGAACACATGCGCGATCTGAGGAGCCACCGGCGGTCTGCTGAGCTTGGACGGCGGAAGCAGTCGTGGCTGCCGACTTGCAGGTGATGCCATCCATTTGGCGGTAGTCTTGGACAACGGGAGGGAAAGTCTAAAATATTTAGCGGTAGTCTTCGAGACTTCGACTGAGAAGAAGAATAGAAGGCTAAAATATTTAGACTTCCGTCCAACATTGATGTTGGACAGAAATTAAAATACTTACTATTTTAATTTCTACCTATCAGTTAATTTTGATTTACCAACCAACACTACAAGTTGGACAGAGTTTCTTTCCAACACTGGATGTTGAACGGAAACTCCGTCCAACATTCGCGTGTTGGACGGAAATTTCGATCAATTTTTCGTCCACCAATTTTTAGTGATAGAAAGTTGAAATTTTTATTAAAATACCGACCAATATTTGGTTGGACGGAAATGTTGGACGGAAATAGCGAAATTTCCAGCCGTGTAGGAGAGTGTGATGTATCTATCCTTAGGCCATCTCCAAGGGAGCGTTAAACGCTCCCTCAAACGCCAAAATGGCGCTACTTTTGGCGCTGAAGCACTCCAATGAAGCGCCAAAAGTGGCGCCATTTTGCCGATTGTCTACAGTGCAGTGCCAAATATGGCGCTGCACTGTAGCTTGACGCCAAATGTGCTTCAGAAAATGTTATTCCCACTTTGCCCTTGACCTCTTTTATTAATTCATTTTGTATCCCAATTTTGTTTTTATAGATTTACATATTTTGTTAAATACATAAACATAAAATTTGAATAATTAAAAATAAATTATATCATTTGAAAGATCGCATCAAGACGATTAAAACAAGCCTAATATTATATATAGATTAATTAAAAACTGAAGTACATAAAACATAATTTTCATAATATTAAACCGAATACATCCGAAATTAAACAGAACATACTTAGAATTAATAGTCTCCAAGACCATCTCCATTCCCTCCCAAATTATCAAAATATTGATTAAATTGACTACTTGATTCACCCCCTCCTCCATGTGTTTGCTCATTAGCTCTCTTTGCAACAATTTGTAGTTGTTCATTCCTTATAGACTCACGCACCATTGGATCTGTGATTGAATCTAAATTTATGCGTAAGATTTTGTTCTCTTCTCGACGCTCTCTCTTCTCTTCTCGACGCTCTCTGTTCGCTTCTTGTCGTTCTGCCAACTCTACTTTCTTTGCTTCAGTCTGAGCTTTTAACAACTGAACCTCATAATTTTTTTCAAGTATATCTTGATGATGTTGGAACATTTTTTTGATTTGTTCATTTTCTGTCTGGATGGATTTTAAAAATTCCTTATTTTCTTCATTCAGTTGTTTCTTCTTTTTCTCCTTGTTCCTTCCCGTAGGACGCTCGCTTGCATTGTTGTTTCCGTTAACCTGGTCTGCACTTTCAAAATCGTCATTCAAATCAACACAAAAAGATGATGAGCCTATTGACTTATCTGCTATATCATGCAGTGATTGTGATCCTTGAAAGTCGGTATTTCGCTTTCGGCTACCAAAACTTGCGTCTCTACTAGGAGTAGAGCTAAATTTCTCGAGATCCTTAAGGATAGGCCATACGTGATCAAATCTAAACCCCTTTGGATATTTGGCATCTTGTGACATTAAATCTTTTGCTCTATCTAGCTATTATAAATCATAAATATAAGCAAGTAAATAACAAATATGTGTAAAGTATTCACGATTTAAGCAAATGACTAATAAAACATTTATAAAGTACTCACAATGTCTTTTTCAGATGCTCCGCTCGGGTTCATGTTTTCAATTTGGCGGACGCATCCTCTTAATTTTGAAACAGCAGTCAATATATTTTGCATCCGAGTTTGAATAGATCGCCAAGATCGAATATTACCATTATTCGCTGGTAGCATTTGATGGTACTCAATCCCAATACGAGTCCAAAAAGCTTGTTGTGCCTGATTCTTACCAACTTCAGGATCTTGGGTAATATCACAATACACACGACATAGAAGTTGATCTTCCTCGATTGAGTATGAAGCAGTTCGGGTTGTGCCTGAGCTCGACATTTTGCAAAGAGAATGGAGGAGTGTTTGAGAGGAGGTTTAAGAATCCAGAGAGTGGTGGTTTTACTTTGGCAATCCAAGTTGTAGTATTTATAGTTGAAAACACTTCTGATAAAGTTTGTGATAAGATTTCATATCTTTTGTTGGATTCCGTGTTGGAAAGATTTGCATACCAATGAATGGTTAAGATTGTTGAGATTTAATCCAACGGTTGAAAACACTTCTGATAAAGGTTGTGATAAGATTTCATATCTTTTGTTGGATTCCGTGTTGGAAAGATTTGCATACCAATGAATGGTTAAGATTGTTGAGATTTAATCCAACGGTTGAAAACACTTCTGATAAAGGTTGTGATAAGATTTCATATCTTTTGTTGGATTCCGTGTTGGAAAGATTTGCATACCAATGAATGGTTAAGATTGTTGAGATTTAATCCAACGGTTGAAAACACTTCTGATAAAGGTTGTGATAAGATTTCATATCTTTTGTTGGATTCCGTGTTGGAAAGATTTGCATACCAATGAATGGTTAAGATTGTTGAGATTTAATCCAACGGTTGAAAACACTTCTGATAAAGGTTGTGATAAGATTTCATATCTTTTGTTGGATTCCGTGTTGGAATGATTTGCATACCAATGAATGGTTAAGATTGTTGAGATTTAATCCAACGGTTGAAAACACTTCTGATAAAGGTTGTGATAAGATTTCATATCTTTTGTTGGATTCCGTGTTGGAATGATTTGCATACCAATGAATGGTTAAGATTGTTGAGATTTAATCCAACGGTTGAAAACACTTCTGATAAAGGTTGTGATAAGATTTCATATCTTATTATAAAAACTAGTACATCACATCCAAAGTTATCATTCATCTCTTCATCATATCAATATTCAATTATGAATTCCAACAATGGTAAACGCCCTATTCCATTTTCTTCTTCATCCTCATCTTCATCCTCACCTTCACCTTCACCCTCACCCTTATCCCAACAATCAGAGGATGATCTTGATCTCAATACTATAATACAATCACAAGAGCAAGCATTACTAAATGTATATGCTAACAACAACGTTGTCATGGCTTACTATATGGAAACGATGGCAAATCAAGCTAGCAACTCAAGGCACGGTGGTTCGGTTCCTGGCCATAGAGTGATTCATCGTGATCGTGTCGATGGTGATAGAAGGTTATGGGCTGATTATTTTTCAGAAAATCCAAAATATAATGAAACAATGTTTCGTAGACGATTTCGAATGAGTCGAAATTTGTTTTTACGAATTGCCAACGCCGTTAAAGATCATGACAACTACTTTGTGCAACGGAGAGATAGAATTGGAAGGCTAGGCTTGTCTACTTTACAAAAAGTAACAGCAGCCTTTCGAATTTTGGCTTATGGAGTACCAGCGGATGGAACGGATGAATACATTCAAATTGGAGAATCAACTGCAATTGAAAGTGTGAAGAGATTCTGCCGAGCAATTGTAGAGATCTTCGGGGAGCGCTATCTAAGAGCACCTGATGCTAATGACGTTGCAAGGTTGCTTCAAATTGGCGAGAGTCGTGGTTTTCCAGGGATGCTTGGGAGTTTAGATTGTATGCACTGGACTTGGAAAAATTGTCCAACAGCTTGGGCTGGACAATATTCTGGGCGTAGTCGAGAACCAACTATTATTCTTGAGGTTGTAGCTGATTATGATTTGTGGATATGGCATGCACATTTTGGTTTGCCAGGGTTAAATAATGACATTAATGTTTTGGAGGCGTCTCATTTGTTTACAAACCTTGCAAATGGTATAGCACCCCCAGCTCATTATGTTATTCAAGGAGAACAGTACCATACGGGATATTATTTAGCTTATGGTATATACCCAAAATGGTCAACATTGGTACAAACCATTCATGAACCTCGAGGGCTAAAGAAAAAGTTATTTGCAACGATGCAAGAAGCATGTAGAAAAGATGTCGAACGCGCATTTGGGGTCCTCCAGTCACGATTTGCAATAGTCAAGGGACCGGCACGTTTTTGGGATAAACGTGTATTACATGATATAATGACATCTTGCATCATAATGCACAATATGATAATTGAAGATGAACGTGATGAGCAAGCGGATATACAAAGGTGGAGAGAAGCGCCGGCTATTGAAGTTGATCTACGTAGAGATGAAGCTACTCTATTTCAAGAATTTCTTGCTCGACATAGACAAATAAAAGATAGAGAAGCGCATTATGCACTTCGTAATGCATTGATTGAGCATTTGTGGCAACTATATGGTAATTCTGAAAATTAAATGTAATAGTTGTTATATGTTATATTATTGTGAAATAAAAATATTATTTGCATTACAATTAAATTTCATATTAAAAATTAAAGTAAAAAATAAAAGTTATAATTTATGAGAAAACAAATTATTTTTGTGTAGAAATAAATTTGGTGTAGAATTTGGTGTAATGGGTTGGAGATGAATAAAATTTGGTGTAAGAATATTCTGAGAATATTCCTTTTGGTGTAGAATTTGGTGTAGAATTTGGTGTAATGGGTTGGAGATGGCCTTACATTAATCAAAAGTTAACGTATAGTCTGCTGCTTTCTGTACTGCAGAATAATGCGGAATTTGAAGCAGTTGATTTTTTAATGGGGGTACTTTAGATCTTTTTCTGCATCATCTTGTCTATTATTTTATAAAGTTTTTGACATTTTGATGTTGTTATTTGGTCTAGTTTATTAGGTTTGGTGAGATATACTTAATGGAGGTTTGGTGAGATATACTTAACGGTAAACTAACGGCGATTCTTAAAATTTTAACGGATTAAGTAACGGTGTGTGGGTATTTAAGAAAATCTTAGTGTAAAAATATTAAGATTGGAGAGTTTATTGTGACCGACTCATTCTTACTAACGACGTCTCGTGCTACCTTAAATACTTTTCTCTAGCGATAGCTAAGTGAGCCTCTCTCAGTCCTCTTCGGAAGTGGTGCCAAATAAATGATGTGATGACTAAGAAAGCATCTGAAGGATTAGTTGAACTCTTGTATGGTTACAAATGAGGCCCCTCAAAGGGTATTTATACCCATTCCAACTCCTTAATGAATGGTGGAGATCTACTTAATCAACCGACTAAGATTTATTCTCTAGAATCTTTCAAAAATCTCTATACAAGCTTGAGGATTTTCTAAGATTTTAGAATGTTCTAAGCATCTCTACAACTTTTAGTTGCTATGTACATGCCTCTAAACTATTCTACATATTATGATATGGTATGTACAAGTGCAAGAAAAATTTAGAATGATATAGCAAACCTTAAAAATGTGTAGCAAAGTTCCATGGACGTTACATTATATTCCAAACTGAGTATCCAGATGTTGGATGTGGATCGCCCCCATTATAAATAAATATTCTAGTGTTTCATTTTCATTTATATTATTCCCAACTTAGAAATTAATTAAAATATGTATTATTTCTGTTAAAAAGTGTTAGTCCCTACAACCCATAATCCAATCCAATTATATTATAAAAGGTGTTAGTCCCCACAACCCATAATCCAATTATATCACAAGACCCTGAAAGTCTTCCGTCAATTTGTATAGTTTTGAATATCTGCAAATGCGGATTTCTAATATTCCATTTAGAGATACGACAAACTGTACACTTTCATTATATTATTTACCTACAGCAGTACATTCTTCCAGATCTTATTGATTTTTTTAATAATATTATTATTCCAAAAGGCTGAACCCCAACCTTAAGGGCCCCCCACACCCCGGCCCGACAGAGCATTTGGGAGGTTTTTAATAATATCATTATTCCAAAAGGCTGAACCCCAATTTCTGGTGGTATGATTCTCGCTTTGGGTTTTTAATAATATCATGAATTAACTATATGATGGCCTCACTAGTACAAAAAAGGCATAAGAGATTGAGGGTCCGTTTACCAACAGAAAACTGTTCTCTGTTTTCTGTTTTCTAATTTTTCAGTTTTCATTTTATATTTTTCATTCTCTGTTTTCTGTTTAGAAAACTTGTTTACTAACTCAAAACTGTTCTCTGTTTTCTATTTTCTAATTCTTCAGTTTTCACCTAAAATTTAGTTTAGATAATATTAATATTTTTTTACTTAATATTTAAAATATTTTTTTTTGGGATATATTCATTTGAATGACATGTATATGAATATATAACTTTTACTTTGAATTCTAATATATGTGAGATTTCAATATCCGATATTTGGATCGAACTTGTATTATGATGTAACATAATTAAAATATTCGAACTAATAATCTATTGAGTTCAATCAAAATCTAAAATATTATATAGAGTTTAATTCTTAATTTTGATCATGTAAATAATGTCTAAATTTAAAGTTTAAGCAAATAAATCATATTTAAATAAGTAAAGTAAGTAGAAAAAATAGAAGATAGAGATAAGTAAAATAAGATGATAATGAATTTAATCATAGTAATGTGGTTATAGTGACATATAACTAAATAGATTATAGATGATTCTGTTTTTCATTTCGAAAACAGTTTTTAAGTGTGTTCCAGTTTTCTAGAAATTTTCAAAAATTATTTTCTGTTTTCAAAATGGAAACTGTGTTAGTAAACATGTTTTCTGTTTTCTATTTTTCAATTTTCAAAAATTTCCAGTTAGTAAACGGCCCCTGACTTTTCGTTATTGTTCTTAAAACTAGGGTAGTGTACTCTTTAAAAAAAAAAAAATAGGCGGTGATAATTTCATAAATAATTGATCAAGAATCCGCATCTATTGTTAATTAAATTGGACGCGATTTGAAAAAAAAAAAATTTACTTTCCGCAAAATTCCATAAATAATTGATCAAGTTTAGGTCCACAAGTTGGAGGGAAGTTCGGTGAAGAAATTGGAGAAACCACAAGATGGAGCGCTGTAAATAGACTCAATTCGAAGGGATTAAGGTCATTCTTCTTCACCGGAATCATCACCAATTTCAAAACAAAAACTCACCAAAAATCAGTTCGGAGATTTCCGAACAGTTCTTCCGGTCGGTAAAGATTCCGGGCAGCATTCTGGTTCGACAGCAGCAACGATTTGGCGTTGGAGATTCACGTTCGGCGGCAGTGTTTCTATCTTAGCAGCAAACAAATTCATTCTTTGGTAGCAGCAGTACCATACGGCAATTCATCTCTTAATTCTTTTTATTTGTTAATTTAATTTGTAATTCCTCACTTTGTTATTTTAATATGTTTTATTTGTTTTGTGTTAAATCGTTGGAAAGCAATTACGTTTAGGCAGCTTAAAGAGTCTTCTACGGCTCATATACCTAGCAAAAATCCCTTCTGGTTCTTTTTCCTTTTAAACTTATCTTTAATCTTTAATTTGCCTTGTTTAAATTGTCATTAACAATTCCTCAGTTTCAATTTTGTTTACTTGTTGGTCCGTGAATGATGAGTTACAATGCTCAATTACAGTGCCTAATCATATGTTAATTGTGATTTTCTTAGTGTAATTGTTTGCTTATTTATTTTATTTAAGGGACATAATGAATAGCGATGGAATAATTCTTTCATATTGATTGTTTAATTTACCCGACTCGTCCTATGAATTTGTATTGCGATTAGTTGAACTGTTATTTTGATTCTTAGAAATTTATCCGTCTAATTTTCTAAATTTTTATTCAATTACTTTGAAATTAAGTTGATCATAATCATTGGTATTCGTGTTGTAACCCATTAGCTCAAACGTGATTGATCAATGTAATTGAAGAAGGAGAAGGTAAGAAGCAAGGCAAAGAGGATCATCTTATTCATTCATTTGTCTATCATCATACAACCATAATACCTTTATATATAGTGTACAAATATAACGGAAAATATAATGGAGACATAAATAACCGTTACAACTGTTATATAATCTATAATAATGTCCACATAATGATTATATTTATAACACTCCCTCTGGACATTATTTGTCCATGCCCTTGCCTCGTTAAAAACTTGTTAGGAAAATCCTGTGGGAAAAATCTAGACAAGAAAAGAGTACAATAGAAAATATATTCATGCCTCATTAAAAAAACTTCACTAGGAAAACCACGTGGGAAAAACCTAGTTGTAGAAAAGAGTACATAATATATGTAAAACATATATTGTATTGGTCGCTTCATTAAAAATAACTTAAGAGAACTCTGTGGGAAAAACTTAGTTAAGGGAAAAAGAGTACACCATAAGCCTTCAGGGCATAATCTGCATAATCTTCTGGACTTTGGAGTTTGTTCATTTATTAACCAATTTGATAGGGAATATCCCGACCGACGTAACTTTACCCCGGTCAGTTTGCCTTTGTCTTTGTCTTCTTGTCTTTGCAGGCAGCAGGTCGGGCTTCTTATGAAGAACCCGGTCGGGGTCCGACCGGGAGTTGCCCGAGCGGTAGTGTCGACCACCGAGCGGTAGCCTTTAGGCGAGAGAGCTGGCGAAGGACACGTGGCGGCTCCACACGTTGACAGGCAGGGCACCAGGGACGACGACACGTGGTGGCTACGTGGGAAGCATGCCGAACGGCCGGATTTGTGTCTCCTGCTCCACGGCTATAAGTACCCGCGATAGCTATAGTGTGGGGGACTTTTGGACGATCGATAGGTTGTTGTTAGAGAATCCCGACCGCAGTCAGTCGGTACTCAGAGCAACCATGTAGATTGTACTTAGGGCCTTCACTGTGATCAATAAAGACATTTACTTGCTTTAATTGGTCTCGTATTTACCTAATTACCGCTTACGTGGCAATTAACACTATCATTTTGGCGCCGTCTGTGGGGACCCGTACAAGAAAGCTATTGTCTTGACGAGCACCCGATCACTCATCAACCATGTATCCGTGGGCACAAAACCTCTTTGCCGACGACCAGACGGATGCAGCGAGTTCATCCGACCACCAGGCAACACAACAACAAGGTCAGACGATGGACCTCAACCTCAATCTCTCACCACCACATCCATCCAACACATACCCGGCCGCCCAACAGCCGGTGAATTACATCCAACCGGGATACCCAACACCCGGTCAGCAATATCAGCAGCAGCCAATGATGTATCCCGGCCAGTATCCATACTCGGTCCCACCTCAACCGTACGGGTATTGGCCAGGCCAACCGATCTACTACACGCCCCCGGTTGGCTATCCACCATACACGCCTGCTTACACGGCTCCAGCCGCCGCCCCTCCAGTATACCCGGCCGCACAGGTAGAGCCGCAGCATCAGCCCGCTTCCCGGGCTCGACGCTCGGCTCGTTCGCGGTTGGGGTCGGGGGGTGCTGATACGATGGAG